GCGTGCGTGCGTGTGTGTGTGTGTGTGTGTGTGTGTGTGTGTGTGACCACTTTTTAATCCATTCCTGCATTGATGGGCACATTGGTTATTTCTGTGTCTCAGCTACATCCAGCAGTGCTTCCGTGGACATGGTAATGGAAACATCTCTTCAGTGTATGCATTGAAATCCCTGTGGGTACTTACTCAGAGTTGGGTTTGCTATACATAGTACTATTCTATTCCTAGCTTTTCTGAGGATTCTGCATTCAGCTTTGTTGTACCTGAAATGGTAAGAAGATGAGGTGGTAAATGATTATTAGCTTAACTTACAATTCTGCAGTGTTCTGAGGCATTGAAATATCACATAAAAACTATTAAATTATCACTGATGAAAAACTGAATATGGCCTGTAATCACAGGGATTAGGATACAGAAGCAGGAGAATCAGAATTTTAAGATAATTCTTGACTGTCTAGAGTGTGAGTGTAACTTGGGATACATGAGGGCCTGTTTTTAAAAATAGTTTAAATACACCAAGAAAAATATATTGGCTACATAGTTCAGAATAAATAATGGAGTTGGCCATATTGTGTCTTCAGAGAGAAAGAGAGAAATTAATGCTTGTGTTCAGCCCACTTTCTCCTTTTTATACAGTCCAGAGTCCCTGCCTAGAATGGTTCTGCTCCACACATCAGTTAATGCAAGCAAGATGATCCCTCATAGACATTCTCAGAGGCTAGCCTTAGTGTGATCAATTCCACATAGACACCTACAAGTTTTACCTTCTAGGTTATTCTAGATCTGATCAAGTTGGCAAGTGAGATTAAATATCGTAGTTCCTTAGGCAGGATTGAGTCATGACACCTGATATGAACTGAGGAGAAATATCCCCTCCTGTGTTTTCTGTTGCAGCCTGAGTCCCTAGCTCACCAGAGAATGAATTTCCATCATTCAGATCTCTGGTGTGTGTGGATCCTGCTTTCCCCCTGATTGGCTCATTAACTGAATTTAGATACATTTTAAAAGGCAGATGTTTTGATTATTTATATTATTTTCAATTTCTATGAGTTTGTAATTTTAGTTCCTAGATACTGTGAGAGAAGGACCAGCTTAGACTTTTTACTTTTTAGTGAGAGAGAGAGAGAGAGAGAGAGAGAGAGAGAGAGAGAGAGAGAATGAAATACAACATTGGGTCACAAAGCCAGTCCTTGGTAACCCATCCTCAGTGGGCATTCTCTGTAATTGGAAGCTGCCATCTCCCACCCCAGTGATTTAACTGGCTTCTTTGAATTCCATAGATATTATATGGCTTAATTTATTGCAATTCTATTATCAGCCATTTGTATAGTTGGTGCTTGGAGAGAGGGAAATTCTTGCCACTGGTGGTCCTGACTGGCTGGGAGAGATAGCAGACAGGCTTCATAGTGGTGCTGGTGGCACTGGAGGTTGAAGCTATCTAGATGGGGGATGTGTGCTCAGGAACAATAAAGGATGGCTCTGAGACACTCATGAAATGGAAGAAATCACTCTATATAACCTTGTGCCTTTCCTCCAATCATATTTTCAATGATAGTGTAAAGTTTTTAGGTTATTGATGGTGAATGAGTTATTAGAAAACTCTCTTAGTTACTTGTATCATTTCTATCACCAAAATGTTTGAAGGGTATGAAATTTTAGAGACAGAATCCATCAGCATGGTCAAGGCATGACAGAGTGGAGTTGCTAATATCAAGGTAGACTCAGAAGCAAAGAAAAGTGGAATGCTGGATTCTTGGCATCAGTCTCTTAGGTGACTCTAAATGCAGTCAAGCTGACAATGAGGGCCAGTCATCACATAAGCATATAAGGGAACCTGCTCTGTCACTGGCCTTGTGTTAAGCACCACATTTTCCAAGATACAGAGTCTGTGCCTTCAGCAAACTTCTGTGTAGTTTTCCAGAAATTGTTTATACAGAACCTATGTCATTTTGAAAATATGTAGGCAAGTAGCAAAAGGTGCCCCCAATACAGTGTGGGGCACATGTACACATATTTAAATCAAAGCACACTCTCAACAGAGTCTGGAGGTCAGGTTTGAAAACCAAAGCCTCTTCTTGCCAAGTCTAAATCTTCATTGGCCTTAACCCAGTTTCCTCACACTTTCTTTAATGTTCTCCTAGAGAATTGGCCATGAATGTACGTGTACCAAAGATTAATGGATGATTCATTTGTATTAGTACTTGGGTGTGAATATAATTTCAAAAGAGAGTATGTTGTTTCTGCAATCAAAAAATCATGCACCAGAATATAGGTTAGGTTTCAAAATAGAATAGAGTTAAGTCAGAGGTGAAGAACTCACACCCTGGGACCAAGTATCTTTGTGCCTTTGTATCTTTTGATTAGGGTATCTCTAGGTGTTGGAGAGGGCCAGGTGAGCTGCCTGAATGCAAGCAGCTCAGGGTGACCCTGAGCTTATTTATAAAAAAAAATTCTGTAATTTATAGACTTTCACTTTTCCTTTAAAAAAGTGCAAGTTTCTGGATACACAATGAGCACATCACTTGCAATTATGCACAGAGAAGTTTTTTGTTTGTTTGTTTATTATCCCAGTCTGCTCTTACCTGGTGGAATGATGCCTACTTTCTGTGTCTAATGGTAATCAAGTGATGAAATGGACAGTAGGACTGTCTCAGGAGGTGTCAGCTGTCCTGGCAAGGAATTGCTGGAGGTGTGGATGGATGTGGATGGATGTAGCTCTCTGATTCCATTTGCATGTCTTAAATATCGTGGAGTGATTCACCTTCCAGTTCATCTGGGAAAGGAGATAGTATGCTATGAGCTACCTGGGGAGCTTGCTAGGGGAATATGTTTGGTTCCTGTCAGATTCCATTGACTAAGACTTCTCAGGGTCCCTGTGGGTTATCATAGACAACTTAAAAAATGTTTCCTAGGGCCGCATGAAAATGCCAGTTGGTATAACAAAACTATGGTTTAATTTTTCAGAAAACTCAGTCTTGAGGCTTTATGAGATAGATATTTATTTTAAGACAAAAATATCTGTATTATATTCAGGCCACAAATATAAAATTATGAAATATGAACTCATAATTTTCCTTGCCCAAGATCTTAGGGTACTTAGAAGCATCAACTAACTCCATTATACTCTTATATCTGTTACTATGATCTGTGACCCCAAATACTTGATCTCTCAAAGTCTTGTCTTGCCTGACGGATATGAATGGA